AAAAAAAAAAAAAAAAAAAAAAAAACAGATAAACACAGTTGATGCTACTGCACAGACAGCAGCTCTGAGGGATGCTGCTGCAAATGTTTGTCAGACAATAACGACGTCTGAAGAGTTGCTGATAGATATTAGGGGTGGAGAGGAAACCTTCAAGAACCCCTGGCAACAACAGTGTCGACAACTACACAATTGCACTAACACTGTTGCTATCACACTGAATTGCTTAATAACAGTTTCAGTTTGATTAAAAAAGAGTGAATAGTTCTTTTTTTTTTTCCTACGGAAACTGTTTTGGATGTTAAATTTGATCGTTTGTGTTCTTCTTGCAAATATTTATTTCCTTCATCGTTCTCTTCTGTTTTCCACCGTTTTTTTCCCCATTTTGCTTTCTTTTAGAAGAAGCGGAATTCCAATAAACGGGGAATCAATATTTATGGTATGAAGCATTAACTTTTGCTCTTATTCTTTTGGCATTGGACAACTTAAAAGCCTATAGAGTTTTGGTGGGGCATTTTTTTTTTTTGTTATTTCTGATGAACGGCCTCCGAAAAACATTCCATTCATTGGTCGTCCATTCAATTATTCGTCATCCAACAATTCAATGTATAGACACTACTTTTAAACGTCCTAGAATGTTGCTAGCTTTCTCAACTGACAACACAGATTTTGCCGACGCAATTTAAAACTAATTTACGACGGTATTTGCCAAGATGTGGATGAACGTAGAAAAACTTTCCCCCGCTATGAACTGCTATTTCTTGAAGAAGTCAATTTGCAAAGTGCCAACGAAATTGAAAAAAGAGCAAAAACTAAGGGAAGGGAAGCTAATAGACCATTTGGAATGCTGGGTCTTCGAGAAAACATCAAGGATAAATAGCTATAATGCAAAAAAAAAAAAAAAAAAGAAGCAGTTTAAGAAGTTGCTTAGCGGAGACGAGTTTGTCTTGAATAAAAGTGGTATTGTGTTTTTTTAATTTAACTATGAATTCATCAGGTCAAAGACCAGGCGAAAACAAGAGGATAAACAACCACCATTCTTTGACATTTACTTCCACTAACTACTGCTGAAAAGCGGATTTGGCGAAAAAGATTCTAGCGACATTCACTTCATGGTTTCTACCTTCTTCATCAAGATAATGCCATTCCACAAAAAAAAAAAAAAGAAAAACAAGAATAAAAAAGAGGAAGAAAAAGTTTTTCCAATAAATTTTAAATGTTGCTTCTTGTCTGCTTACAAGATATGCAAAAAGAACGTTCTAAAGTACGCTTATAAATTTCGTTTACTGGTATTGTTTTTTTTTCTTTTTTTCTTTCTTTTTTGAAATTAGTTTGTTGACTTTTGAGAGAAAATTTTTTTTTTATTCATATAAACAAGAAATGAAAACACCTGGCTATCAACAATGCATACATATACATATCATTAATGTTTGTTTGTCAAGAATCAAAACACTTACCTATCAAAACGTGTATATAATTTAAAATAATTTTGATAATATCTCATTCGTTCAATCATTGTTAACATAGGTAT